GTTTCTTTAATTTTTAAACATGTATTTCATTTTATGTTTTATTTAAATTGTCTTAACATTTACATAGAACCCCTTGAAGGCTTGAAAACTTGAAATTTACGTTAGATTAAAAAAATAAATAATTATGAAACATAGTGTATGTGGAGATATATTAGATGAAGAAGAGGTACTGTTTGAGTAAAGATACTCTGATAATTACAAAATATGACTTGCAAAAATTATTAATTTATATAGTGATTATTTGTTTTAAAGGAACTGGAAACCAGATTCCCAAAGACGTTTTATGATAATGCTGCCTCCCACAATAGTATGAATATTTAAAGAAGTAATATATATGAGAAACTCCAAGTTGCAAAAGTGTAGTTAGTTACTGCTTATGAGACAGGGGAATTAAAACCACAAGGATAGTTTCTTTTCCCTTACGTTAAGAGATGGCTGTTCTTGGAATTACTCAGGAAATACGGGCTAAGAAAGCTAGGTTTGTGCTGCTGCTGACAATCTTTGGGAAAATTAATTAAGATTCATAACCAGCTTCATGGTGAAATGTTGTACAGCCTAGCGTGGTTGGTCCACTAGAGACCAGGACAGAGAGGAGAAATGAGCAGCATTGGGAGTAGAAACTTCAAAATTGTAACTGAAAACCGAAGAAAAAGCATTTCTTATAGTAAGTTTGCATATCTTTAAACCGTGATTCCACTCAGAAAAATGACTGAAAAAGTTTGTGTATTTTCTCGTAGTTACCAGTTGTGTGTTGCAGGAATACTCATTTGGGCCATGGTTGCTATGTCAGGTTTTACTGACAGTCCCTTGAGGTTGATGGCAAGAATATGTATCATCGCCCCTTGGTTTTCAATCAGTCCCCTGTACAGGGACTTCTGAAAACAGATTAACCTTCATTGTTTAACAAACAGTACTAAAAAGAAGGTATTTATTTACTTCTGACTTAAATGTGCTAATGACAGTTTACATGCTGTAATTTCTTGAGTGCACCAGCAAAATGCTAATATGGTTGCGTTTGTAAGGTATTCCGCTTATTTCGCTTGAGTAAGGCCTTTACTATTACCACTGTGTGAGTGTTTTCTCAGCCCACTAAAGAAGGATGAAAATTCTAATTAAAGCAGTGAGCCCTTAAAAGATTGATTATTCTAACCTGCCCATTGACAGCAATACACTGTATTCTCAATTTAGAGTTTACTAAATATTTGTTACTGAACATCTTTGTTTCACTCATGTTATGAGAATGCAAAGTTATTTCACATATTTTGGGTGGAAAACTAGATGCGGGGGGTCTTTATCCTGTTAACTTTCTTATGTCTTTCCTTTGTTGTGGCATTTTCTGGCTGGTATGAGCCTCAGGCTAAAGCCAATATGGTTTCCACCAATATTCCTTTCTTCCGGGGTCGGGATATATGTCGGCGTGTGTTTCACTCTGTCTAGTCCAAAATGGCATGGTAATTTAATATGATTTATTTCACTGGAGGAATTGGCAAAATTTATTTTCTATCTGGTTTGAGAGCATCTTGGGAAGCTTACATAGAAATGATGCAACAATTAATTTTAGATTTTCATTGTAACCATTTGCTTGTTAAGAGTAACTCTTTTGCAGATGTTATTAGCCACGTTCAGTGGTCTTTGAAAGGTATTCTTTGGCTTTGCCACAGTGTACAAGTATGCACAAGTGTAACTGTGTGTAAGTTTACACCTTAAATGAAAGGTACAAGGTATTTGATAGAAAGTGGTTCGATATGTAAATATGCAACACTTCAGAACATGCTTTTCTTTCAGCCCCAAATGTTTTTCCCCAATACAGTCAGTGATAGGCCAGCATGCATTAGCAGTGGTGTTTTTTTAAAAGAAAACTTGGATACATATGCAAAATGTAGTTGACAGATTGATTGTTGGAGTTAGTTGTTACTTCTATGTAATTTTTAAGGAAAATACCCAGTATCAGATATTTCGTGTTGCTGTATTCATTTCTGTCTGGGATATCATTTGTCTTTGATAGCGTCAGTCACTAGAATGTCTTAATGTAATTCAAATTTGCAGTATTTTCAGAGAGCTATAAAATGAAATCATCGTTTTATTGCATCATTTACTGTGGGGAGGGGAAAATTAATGGAAAATGAGACATTTTCACTTTAAAAATCCATTGGAAAACTTTGATATCTTTTGATATAGAGAAACCTTTTGTTCAAAACCAGTTTATGCCTGTTTAGACAGAGGTGTCCTTAGATTTTTAAACCTGGATGTGTGTTTTAAGAACTTACATGCTATTTCTGTTTGGTAAACTAAACTTTCAGAAATAAATAGTTAAAACCAGCCCCAGTGTTTCATTTTTTTCTGAGATTTTTTGAATCACAGCTGGTTAATAAGGATTTTTTTCACTTCTTCCCCGCCTACATTGAGTACCTTTTCTGTCACACAGCCTGTGCAGTTTTCCCATAGGGACATATAATGGAGTTCATCAAAGTGAAAAAAGTGAGTCACACTGTCATTTATTTACTCATGTAAGACAATAATGGTGTTGATAGTTACCCGGACATGCTTTCATCTCTTTAGATTGTGGAAAAGCTGGGAGTTAAAAAGTCCTTGCAGACTAGACTACAAGTGAAAAGAAAGAAATTAAGTCATAGCTACATGGTGGTTACTGTCTCATTTAAGGCTGTTTGTTTTCCTTTAGCAACAATGAGCAGAAATGTTGTTGCTCTAAATTTGCTAGAATGTTTAATTATATACATTATGAAAAGGAAGTCACCTGTTTTCATGGTATAGAGAGTCAACGGATGTTTACTATTATTATGACTAAAATATTAGTTTAGATTCTAAAATTACGTCTATATAGTTTCATGGGCACAAGTTATCTAAAATTAAAAGAAAAAAAAGTGCTTTCCCAGATCTCTCCGTGTTTTGCAAATAAAGCTTTCTCACATTTCCTGCATGGTGATTTCAAGATTCTAATTATCACACTTAACTCTGTTTCATACGTAAGGTTTTATGTCTATCTGCTTGACTGATGACTGCATTTCAAGTATACAATTCCCTGCCTGCTCTGTTTTCCTTTCCAGCCCTGTGGGACTGAAGTATTAAGAGTTAGTGGCACTGGGCTAACAAACAGCAGAAGACCTTTTGTGTGAGTGCTGTAAGAGTAACTTGGAATCACTGAATGGTAGGCTGGCTCTGATGGGTTTATCAGAGAAGAGAGGATTCCTGACAGTGGTATCATCTGGTAGGAGTACTTTGTGTTGTTTTAATTACTCATTTGCCTTAGCTAAAGCTAAGAGGAGTTCCTTTAGGAGCCCAGTGAAATAGAGAAGAGCCCTGCATTCCCCAGTTATCTTTGAGACTTCTGCCTGTCTGTGCAGTAGTATGTATGCTCCATAATGAGATGGCCTGTCCCTGCCCTTCAGTTGCTCAGCTTTGGGGAACTGCAGTTCATATGGGCTCCCTTCTGGCTTTCCTTCCTATGGACAGTGTGCACCAAACCCGCGGTGGTTTGGGCTTGCATCAAATGCCAGAAGCTGTGAAATGTTCCTGCATGCCACAGTCATGTACAGAGCAGACGTCCAAAGGAAAGGAGAACAAAAGGGAGCCTTTTGCAAAAACTGTTACCGAGAGAGACGCATTACTGTGTTTTCAGCCTTGTTCCATAAAGGGTAACTCTTACGCATACTCTGTTTATGTGATATGTTGAACAACTAGTAATTACCTCTGAAGCAGTTAAAAGGTTGATACACTTGGTGAGAATTTAGGACACAGGCAGGGCAATCCTGTATGCAAATATGTGATGATGAAACTAAACACCTTTGTCATGTGGGAAAGATCAGTTTCTTTCTTGGATTAATCTGAAATCAAAGCTTATATTCTAATGGTAATACTTTCGTTAACTTCCTTGTTTGGTAGATTATTTTCTGTGAGTGAAAGTGGTATGTCTGACACCAAAAAAAACATTGTTGCTTTGAAATTTTTGTATATAAGTTAATTCTACACGAGGGGCATCAAAATCTTCATTAAAACCTCTACAGAAGATGTAAACAAAATGTGATAGAGGTTTTACCTATCCTTGGTATTCCTTTCATTTCAGCTACTGCACACCTTGCTGTCTTTTCCCAACTCCAGTCAACTCTGTAATGCTGCCTAGTAAAATACGACATCAAAAATTGAAATGTGATTATTTTGAATTAACTTTCTGTATCCATAGCCATACATCCTGGGTTTATTTCTGAAGAGATATATAACCACATTTTTAGCTAGCTAGCTAGCTAGTCTAAGCGAGAGGCAAAGATGGTCAGCATCAAGTATTCATCCCAAGCACAATATTGCTCATGGTCTTTTTTCCAGTGTCTTTAGTGACTGGGCCTGGTGTCTAACCTCTAGACACTGGCTATGTAACTGTTAGCTGTCCTTAACAAGTAATAAAGAATCTGACACACATCTTTCTTCCCTTGTTAAATTCACCGGTGATCAGAGTTCACTTGTGTGAAAAGGCTTGTGTCTGCCTTTATTACTGCCTCATTTGTCTTCAGAGTTTAATTTAATATCTCCCTGGGTGAGCAACAGCATGGGAGGTAATCAGAAGTTTGATATTATGGCTTTAGGGAGTGCATTTTGTTTTCTTAATTGGTTTACATTCCACCTGCACAGAATCTGACTTAAGATATCCTAAGGTTTCTGCAAGGTAAGCATCCCAGAAATTCAAGCATAGAATTTTTGTCATGTCATATTTGTGCTGTATTTATTTATATATGGTTTACACAGTCCACTGTGACTATATATTTAATACTTTGCTTTTTCCCACATCACTCTCATCTGAGAGGTCATGTTTCCATTTTTGAACAAATATTTTGCAGTAGTATTTGTAATCTAATTTAAAATGTAAAGTAAGAAAAGGCATGTATAGATTTTAAATACTGTCTCCAGATATTTGGACTTACCATTTTCCACAGAACTGTTTCAACACTAAATAATCAGAAAGTAAGTAAAGAATTTTCACTTATTCTCAGCAAACTGCATTCAGAGGATGAGAAGAACACCTCCACTAGATGAACTGCAGCCGCCTCCGTACCAGGATGATAGTGGTTCTCCTCATCTTTCATGTACGCCTTCTGAAGTTGGAGACAGTAAATGTGAATTTTCGCAGTGTAGCAACAGTCCAAGATGTTCATATAAGTGTCCAAGTGAGGGAAGCACAGGACATGAAATAGAAAGCTTTCATAACAAAGGATACGAAGAGGATGTACCAAGTGATAGCACAGCTGTCCTTAGTCCAGAGGTAAATGAAAACAGTTGAGTGTTCTGAAGTGTTGTGCAGTGCAACCTTTTGAGACACATTTTTTTTTTCCTAAAGATCAATATACAGGGATATGAACGCTAATATTGCAGCTCATTCATTAAAAAAAAAGTTGGTTTGTCAGAAAACATTACAGTAGGATTTCAGATTGTTCTTTATAGTTATCTTTATGGCCTCTTAACTTTCGAACGAGCTCCCAGTAAAAGTGATTTTTTTTTTTTTAAACAAGTGAGAAAATTTCATCACACTATAAGGAATGTAGTAAAAATTCTTTTTCTTCCACATAATTTTGCAAACAACTCAAATAAAAAACCCCAAAAGATAGAAAAGTGTTATTACTTTTTAAACTGAACACCCCGTAATGTACAATGTCTTTTATGAATGAAAAATTATTACAAAGATTTTTTTTAAAATTGTTGATGGTAGTAAAGAGATTTGTTCCATTTAGTTTTCCTTTTTTTCCCTGCTATAAACTGTAATGCTGTCTATTCAGTTTTACTATGAAGAAGTAATATTTTCTGATATATATTTCCTTGAAATGTCTTTAGCAACTAGTTACTGCACTGACATCTATGGATAAGTCTACCTTAGTGATGTCATGTGCAGAAGAGGCTTTTTTTGGTACAAATTTGTATTTTGTCTCTAACTGAAATTTTGAAGTGGATATTAGGGACCACTCCTGATGTGCCAACAGCTGTTCGTTTGTCAGTAGACCTCTTTGTAAGTTGATGTTGCATGCCTGGGGTGTTGGTGCAACATCTGGAAGGCCCACCTGCTGCGTGAATGCCAGGTTCTCCAGTAGCTAGCTGTCTACACGCACCTGATGATCAGCTAGGACCACAATCTGTGAGAACTTCATTGTTGGTAAAGACATATGGTGCTTGAACCTTAACAGATTGCAGCAAATCTAATCCTAGTTCTTCCCACTTTGTGTCACACCAGTCATTAATGTAAGCATACCCAATAAGAAGTGAGAATACTGCCAACATTTTTATAGCCACTCAGCAACTTGAAGAATGAGGCTTTCAGAGGAATGAATTCCCATAGCAATCAGTTTAAAATAAGAACAGAACATATTTTAATCCAAAAGACTTTATTGTTCTGTCTATTCATTTACATGAACAAGTGTATCTTTGATAATATGAAAATGCACAGGAAATGAATTTGTTTTAGCTACTTGGAATAACTTAGTATACAAACAGTAGTTTGACCTGTACTTGTAAATATTTTGTGTTCAATATCCTATCAAACTAGCTGTTTAAAAAATATAGAGGATCAATATTTTGTTCAAAACTTGAAGTGACAATAAACAGTTTTAAAATTAAGTTTAAAATACAATTTTAGGAATTATGCCATTTACAGAAAGTTCAGAAAGTGTGTTCAAAACAGACACATCTTACACAGTTCTAGTAAAATTACATTAATCAAGCCATGATAATTTTGGCACATTTATAGAGCCTTTGTGGACTGCAACAAAAGCTGCATGTGCAAGTAGGTGTTGTAATTCCAGTATTCTTTGCTGGCACCTCACTGCACTGTGCTCTCAAGCACTAGCCAGCTCTTAAAACACTATAGTATCTGCACTTAAAAATGTATGTATACTCGCACTGAAACAAGGCGGTTCTGTCTCATAACAAACATGCATGGATTTTAACATGTGGGGCACGGAAGAAGAGATCATAAATACAGCCTGATTTAATCTGAGCTCTGTCTGATTGGCTCCTGGCTTTTGGCAGTATTGGCCAGGTAAAGTCTTTTGATTTCTTCTTGGCTGCTAGTCAGCCATCTCCTCAGGCTTTTGGTGTTTAATTACCTTGTTGATGAAGTGAACAAAAAGATCATAGTCACTTCACATTGCTTAGAGAAAGCCATATATTTCCACGCTAGATTTAATAATGGAATACAATAAATAAATAAATTAAAAGCTGCTTTTTCTTCTTCTTTTTCAGGATATGTCAGCTCGAGGATCATCTTCACAGCTTCCTAAACCTTTTGATCCTGAGCCAGTAGCTAAATATGGCACACTGGATGTGACTTTTGACTATGACTCACAGGAACAGAAGCTTTTGGTGACAGTGACAGCTGTCACAGACATTCCCACATACAGCAGGACAGGTGGAAGCTCGTGGCAAGTACACCTAGTTCTCCTCCCTATAAAGAAGCAGAGAGCAAAAACCAGCATCCAGCGGGGACCGTGCCCTGTCTTCACAGAGACATTCAAATTTAATCACGTTGAGTCTGAGATGATTGGGAATTATGCAGTTCGCTTTAGACTGTACAGCGTACGTCGCATGAAAAAAGAGAGGATTGTGGGAGAAAAGATTTTTTACTTAACCAAATTGAATCTTCAAGGGAAGATGTCAGTGCCAGTGATACTGGAACCTTCTTACAGTCTGTCTGTGAGTATTAAATTAGGCAGAATAAGAATGCAGTGATATACAGTGTCCTGAATTTTGTAAGGGTAGTGCGTATATTTATAGTCATCCCATCCACTCAATTTTTTCAACAGTCATAGCGCTGTATTAGCACAACAATAATTTCCGTAGACTTTCTGTAAGTGCATTCACTTTCCACCTGCAAAAGCTACCCATATTTTTCCTTTTAATTACTTAGAAATTTCCAGTCTATCAATAGGAATATAGTGGTGAATATAGGTACATATGTATACATGCAGATACATATGTATGTATTTACTAGTATAATCTTTACTCTGCTGCTTACAGCATTTCAATTAAAAAAAAAGGGAAGGAAATAAAAAGCTATACCAGCAAGTGCCTTCCATCTGTTGCAATTAAATCTTGGTTGCAATAGGTATTTTCCTTTCACGAAAGAAAGACAGGAAAGAGGAATTTTGAGAGCACAAAACCGTTTTTAATAACTTCAGCTTAGAGCCTTGTAAATAATTGATTTCTGGTTAAGTCTGAAGTGAAAAATAGTGTGAAAAGTGGTTCAAACTGAAAAGGATTTTTGTTTGTTGAAAAAAAACCCTACCTATCTGACGAACAAAATTTTTTGTCCCCCAAATGATAAATAATTTAAAAATTTTTAATAAAGCAAAGCAACAATAATTAAGGGTAAACTTAGGTATCACTATCGAAAAACATAGGGCCGTGATCAGTATCTCCTTTTTCTTTTTTGTAAGTATTTAAGTATGCTTTTGTCCAGAAAGAGAGTGTTTGTGATGTTGTGGTCAGGGCTTCCTAGACTAGGAATGCTTGAATGTTCATTGCTTAAGAGCTGCGTGTGTGCTAAATAACAGACTTCTGGGGGAAAGACAAGGTGATTTAGCAAGGGCATCCTTATTTGGTTTTTGTATGTGGTTTGCATTTTTTTTTTAAACTGTCAATAAAAGAAAAAGAAGATGAAAAGGGAAAGAAAGGAAAAGATTTTTTCAGGTGAAACAATGTGGTTAATTTGTTCTGCATTTTCAAAAACAGTTTGGATCAATTGAAATGGCATTTCTGTTGAACATGAGTATTACAAAAATAAATACTCAAATTAAATGCCATTGTATTTAATGACTAAAAGTATATTAACTAGAATTAGTAAAAGCTGAGACTAAAACTTGGATCTGATAGAGAATCAACAGACAATAACACAGCTTTTTTATGATTCCTTAAGAAGTACCAATCAGTCTATTCCAAGGATGAAGCAGTTCACTTACCTAGTGTGAACTAATGCAGACTTTGCTAGTTTCATAGCTAGGAAAAAAACACCGCATGAAACAAAACATTGAATATTCTAAATGTACTTGCTAAATTTGTGTGTGTTTTCAATAGGCTCCGGTATAAATTTTGCCAAAGTCAATGAAAGAGGCTTTTGATTGATTGGTATATCCCATATGTGCATTGGTTATCCTTCTGCGTTATTTTCTTGAGCTTTTGTGTCAGAGAGAGTAAAAACAAATTCCAGAAGGCATTAAAGATAAAAAGATTGTTATTTAATTTCTGTGATGATGGTAAGGGATGCCATATCTGCATTTTACTCTGCTCCTTATTTTGTGGGGAAGGAGCAAGAATAAGGAATATTGGCAGGAAGTGAAAGTATTTTCCAAAGTTTGTTCCTGTACTGGGATTTAGGCAGATTTATCTTAGCTGCCCTGCCTGTCACTGGAAAGGAACTTAATAGTCTTCATAGCTTGAATGAGGATTCGTGTTTTTTTGGAACTACGCAAATCAATTTTTAAACCTTTGGAAATTCATTCACGTCGAAGTTTATAGGTATTTTTCTATTATTATTTACAGCCTGCATCATATTTATTTCAGTCAGTAGACCTATTACAGGATTTAACGTATAGTTACGTTGCAAGGGTGTAAAAATTTATTGCATTTTTAGGATATATTACTGGAAGGGGGCGGCATCCTGAGTCACTTGAGTTCAAGTTCTTGTTATTGCAGACAGCCAGGCATTCTGATAACAAATTTGTGAATTTTCATTTGAAAACGTCAGGTCATTTTATTTCCAACCTGAATTTCTTCATGATCAATTTATAACCATTTTTTCTTTTGCCAGCCTGCTCCTTAAGCTTAATTAGTTCTTACAGTTCTCAGATATTCACCTCGGTCTATTTATACGCATTGGTCATATTCCTTCTCAACTGTCCTTTTGCTAGAGCAAACCAACAACCATCTTTATGTCCAAGTAATCATAAATGCCAGGCAGGAGTTATTTAACAGGAGAAGGTAAGTATTGTTTCAGTTTGGAGAGATCCAGCTACTCAGGCATTTTTGTAATTATAAAATCCATGATGAGGTACATTGTAAATTCTGAATTAAATTTGCCTTGTTCAGTTGCAGAGTGTTTTGTTGCTGTGAAGTGTTTATATTTGACAGCTTTTTTACACAGCTATTTCTTGGACACATGACAGTTGCCCTGTTTTTTCCACTGCTTCTCATTATATGGATTTTATATCTTAAATATACCTTCTGTCACTGAAACTTCCTAATCCGTGAAAACATCTATGCTAATCTCTTCTGCAGCAACATATTTTATTTGCTTCTGTCCGTGCCTGATATTATATTAATGTATTTTATTAGCTAATCAGCTGCCTTCTGATTGTATACGAACAGTTCGTATCCTGTGAAGTTTAGTATTTTTTTCAGTTATACCTTAAAGCTATTCACAAGGGAATCTGGTTAAAGGTTGACCAGCAAGTTCAGTGCCTTTGAAACACAGTGGCATGCTCACGTGAGTGGGGCCTGCAACTCCCTCTTGTTGTTAAAAGGTGGACAAGTGCATGTCATGGTGAGTACATGATACTAGTGTGTTCCTTAAACAGGTTTCAAAGCTACATGTGGCTTCAAATTTACAAATATATTCACAAACTATCTTTCTCACACAAGACTTCACCCCGTTTCCACCTTCCTACATAGTGTATAATGTCTTGCATTAGCATCTATTATCCACAGTACTATTGCCGTTTGCCTTTAACAGTTCTGTGTTGCTACAGTTCTCCCACGTAACAGGGAATTCCTCATGCAGTATCCTCAGCCCCCTTATTTATCGCACCCTTCCTTCCAAGTTCAGTGTGGGTTTGAGTGAGGGAGAAGCAACAGAACCAATATGGGCTAGCCAGAGTGTGGTTGTCACTGTGATCTGAGACTGTCCCTTTCAAATTTGGTAGAAAGTGTCCATTGCATCAAAAGTAAATGGCAGGGCTGTCCATTGCGGGTTTTTTTCCTGAGTATAGTTTGCTTAGGAAGACCTTTGTTGATCCTTTTAGACAAATTTTCCTTTTAGACTACAATGGTAGACAAATTTTTTTTCACCCACTTTGGAGTTTGTGATGTTTATTTTTCTTCAAGAAATCCCCATGGACCTGTTTTTAGTTCCTTTTCGTTCTTCTCAAGCAAAGAAATTTTCCTGGCAGTGAAAAACAGCCTCCAGTATGATGTGATTATAAAAACATATAAGGAGTTTATTGAGTGAAATCTGTTTGGAAAAGATCAAGAAAACAAGTGTAATCCTCTTCACTGTCCCATAGGTTGCTTTTTGGTGTAGAATAACAACAAACAATCATGTTTTATATTTTTTTGGTTGATTTTGGAAGTACAGTTTCGATGACTGAAACACACCTCTTCCTGCTAAGCAAATCTAGTAATTTTTCATCATGTATTGTCAATAACAAGATGTTTGCTGTGGAGAATTAAATTTCTTTTTCTTTCTTTCTATAACATTTCCCATTTCTAACATATTGAACTCCGAGATGTGATCCTGATAACAAAGAATAGATGGTGTAGACATTCATATGTGCTTAAAGGATTATTTTTTGTATGGTTACTATAATATCTAGAGTGTCCAAGAATTATTTTAATTTTTTTTTTTAGTGAAGGCATTTATGCATACAGTGCATAAAAATGATTGCTCTTGCACATGCACGCATGTGCTCTCTCCACTTTGAGAGCAATGGTTAGTAATCTAGTTGGTTTATCCATAGTGCTTAAGGCATTTGTTCCATGTGGCATATCTTTAGTATTCTTTCTATGGATGTTTATTGGTATATAAACTCAGGAAAAAAGCTTTCAGAGTGGCATTTCTTTCTTGTGAATTCTTGGTCATTATAGAGTTGAGCTGTCAGGTTTTGTGCGAATCCTTTTTAGGGTTTGCACATTTTAGGCCTATTGTTGTTCTTAGGTATGGTCTGTTCAGGATTGTATTTGGAAGGCTAAATACTAAAATTTGTATGTATAAACATCTCTTTACTAAATATTAGCTACCAGTACAATACTTTAAAACAGCTAACGAAAAAATGACCAAGACTAGAGGGGGAAAAAAAAAAAAGACTCAAAAGATTTTGCTCATAGTATTTTATTTAAATAGAATTCTACCTAAAGGGATCAGTTTCTATGTGATGGTGCATAAATGCTTTCAGTTAGCTTGTAAAAATTATGTCCATCAAAGTAAGGGGCAATTACCTTTAAACACTGAGCACATCCTTATCTTGGGAATAGCTTTCTGAATTCATTTGAGTTAGTAGTGTAAAATATGGAAGATCGGATTTAGTTCTTTGATGCAATAAGAAAGCTGACTCTTGTGACTTCTTTGAAGACAATTATTAGGTGATTGGAAAATGGTGATCATGTTACTGAGGCTGCAGGAGAACTTCACAGTACTTGGCAAATGAAGTGGACTCCCTGTGTTTGGCTGGTCACGCAGGATTTCATGGCAGTATTGGCAAGCAGCAGCCATTGTCTTCTCAGTGTCATGGCTGCCTCAACTCGTGTGCCTTTGTGTCGTGTTCCCCGAGCACTGTTCCTGGCAGCTCAGAAGATAAGTGCTAACCCTTTTTTTTTTGTGTAGAACCCAAAGACAACTGTGTCTACTCTGGTCTGAAACCAGTGGTGTGTCTGCACTGTTCTGACAGGTGCAAGTTTCAAAAACTCACCTTAGAATCTGACCG